AGGGCCTGCTGTGATCAGCCAGCCCCACCACTCCCTGCAGGACGTGAGTTCTCAAGAAGCTCTGTACAGGTTGGATTTGAAGCCTGCAGGGAAAGCACACACACACACACACACACACATACACAGAAGGAGGAGATAGTGTACTGCCCTCTGCCCCCCTGCCCTGCATTCTAGGACCCCATGACCCGAAGGGCACGCCCACGCAGGCTGGAGGGGCTACCAAGGGGTCCTGGGGCCCAGGGGTGATGAATTTCGGGTTTCCAGGCCAACCCCGCCCTGTCTGCTATAGCTCGCTCTGTGCCCAAAAGCAGGAAATTCTTCTGAAACAGACAGGAACCTCAAGGCCAATTTCATATATAAATATTTATGGCAAAATACTAAATAAAATATTAGCAAATAGAATTCAGGAGCTCGCTCACTGCCTCGCACACCACAGCCAGACAGGGGCGTGCGACTGCCCGCATCATTTCCCATCGAGGGGCCGGGGAGGGGCCGTCTCCACAGTGGTGTGAGTGCTTCAGAGGCACTTAATGAAATCAATACCCGCCCTGTATTAAAAGTCTTAATAAAATAGGAGCAGTTGGATATTTCATTAACAAAATAAAAGCATCTATATTTAGAGCCAGAACTCAGGCACCTGCTGAGTGGCGAGACAGGAAACGCCCCTGCTGGGCCTTACAGTCAGGCCCCAGACACACATCCCAATGTCATCTTTGTGTTGAACATGGTTCTGTAAGCACAGTGCTGTCACCCAAGGGAAGGAATGAAGAAGTATGGAAAAAGGGTCCATGGCGGGGGGAAGAGCAGCAGGCTTGGTGTGGCAAGCATGAGGCCACAGGCCAGCCTTTCCTGTCTCGGAAGGTTGGCCTAGTGCCTGATTTCAACCTGGCCTCCGTTAATCCTCCACTGAGTCTGATAAACCCCCTCTTGCCTCCTGTACCCCATGCCAAGCAAACTGGCCTGAGGCTGGCTCATGCTAAACATGATGACCATAGTCACAAATTAGGCCAGCATGGAGGGGTAGGCACTACTCAGCCAAACATTCTGGAGCAGTTTCTAAATGTGTATTTACTTACTTACAATATATTTGAAAGGCCAAGAGATCTTCTGGTTCTTACTCCTATTGGCTTCAACAACCAGGACTGGGCCAGACTGAAGTCAGGAGCTCTGCCCATGTCTCCCATGTTGGTGGCAAGGGCCTACATACTGGGACCATCATGTGCTGCCTTCCAGTGTGCATGAGCAGGGAGCCAGATGGGAAGCGGAGAGGCCAGCACTCAAGCCAGTTCTCCAATAATGGGACACAGAGTCCCAAATAGCAGCTTAGCGTGCTGTGCCAAAGTGCAGCCCCAGGAGTGTGTTTCTGTTGTTAAAACAAGAAGTAACCTGTATGTCTTTTCCTTTTGATTGGCTGTGTGACACTGAGACCACTGGCTTTCCACCCGTGTCCGAGGAAAGGTCTGGCCTTCAATGGCCATCCCACAGATTCTTTTGCTGCCTGGTCATCTACAATCACCCTGAGTCTGCAGGGGGGTGGTGACCAGCGCCCATGAAGACCCAAATCTACAGGTGTCAGAGGTCCTCATCTAAAAGGGGAACGTTTGCCTGGGACAGTCATCCTCTCTAGCTGGCTCATTGTCCGTAATACAGTGTCAGTGTTCTGAATTCCTCATCAGCCTGTATTGGCTGGGGGCTAATGACAAGCAAAAAATTATACAGTCAGTAGCACAGCACTGCAACGTTTTCTTCCTAATACTTGTCCCCTGCACTTGGCTGAGTACCACCTTGGTGCCGGCCTGCACATGCCAGTGGCTGCCCTCCACACCTTCCCACAGCCCCATCACGTGACAGCACCTAGCTGGCTGTAGTCAATTATGTTTCTTTTGACCTCTTGAAAAGAATGGCCCCCATAGAGAAATAAGTGACAAGTCCCACAGCCAATGCTTTCCCTCACCCTGGGGATCGCTGGTTCCTTCAATTTTCCCCTCCTGTGACTGGAGACCACAGCCCTCTGGGCCCAGCTGTCACCGCAATACCCAGTGTCGCATGCCCCCGCCTCCAAGAGGCAGGGCCCAGGGAGGGACAGACAAGAGCCGCACCCTCCCTGGCAGCGCAAGGTGAGCACCACCACTGCCGCAGTTGTTATCACAGTTGTATTTTGGTCAGTTTAGCGGTTGCCTAGTAACCAGAGGTAAACCAGCCAGTAGATGGAAAACTTGACATTCATTTCCAGGATTGCCACCGACGGCCAAGAAGGCACCTTCCTGTATAAATGTTGCTAGTGTTTTTATGAGCGATGTGACATCCTGGTGCTGTGTATTGGGCACCCGAATGAACGCATGGCCAGAGCTTTCCACTGCCCAGGAAGACATCCAGGTGGTTTTGAGGAAACTGCAACCCTCATCCCCACCCCCCCCAACCCTGGCCTCATAAACATAGACAGATCCAGATACCAATTCCCAGCACCCCACCCCACCTCCCACCAAGCACTGGTCATCTGGCAGCTTCAAGATCAGACCTCCAGGACACCCTGGAGGCCTGGACTGGGCCCTTGGTCTCCGGTCACAGCAAGCGCCACACTGCCAAGGACAGGAAGACCCCTCCTGCGGCTTCTCCCAAGGGTTCAGGCCCAAGCCCTGGGCCAGAGGGTTCTCCTGGTGTGGGGACAGTGGAGAATAGACACTTGGGGTCATCCCATGCCCTCCCTGGCCTTGGCACCAGCCACAGTGTACTTGTTGAGGGGTGCCCACAGCCTCACTTCTCTGTTTGCCTTGGGACCCCTTGGGGCCCAGAGGAGGTGAACAATCCCAATGAAAGACGGACTGCAGACCAGCAGTGTATGCGGCCCAAAGAGGCATAGGACAGACAGGCCATGGAGAAAGGGAACAAAGCAATAGAAGAGAGGCAAGAGGAGATGCTAGTGAAATGCCAGGACGCTCCTCCCCCGCCCAATGCAAATAGGAAATATGCAGAGTTAAGTGGCTAAGGAGCAAAATGGGAGGGGCTACGGTGTGGGTGCAGCCAAGCCCTAATCAGAGCCAGTGAAGAACCTTCCCGAAGGCAGCAGAAAGTATCAAAGAATAAACTGTCCAAGAAAGGTGGGGTGGTGAGGAGGAGGACAGAAGGAAGTAGGCCAGCAGCATCCCAACAAGCGGGAGAGAGTGGATGGAAGCCAACTGGGCCAAGGAAGGGCCAATCAGTGGGCTCACTGAAGCTCAGGCTCTGTGTGTGTGTGTGTGTGTGTGTGTGTGTGTGTGTGTGTGTGTGTGTGTGTGTGTGTGTGTGTGTGTGTGTGTGTGTGTTGAGGGGTGGGGGCAGTCCTGAGGCCGCAGCCCTGGATGCCAGCTCAGCCTCTTGGCTCACTCAACTCAAACCATTTCTCAGCCACCAGCCAGCAGGGACTGGAGCCTGCATTGTGGTACAGCAGGTTCAGCCCATGGGTGCAGGTGCAAGTCCCAGCTACTGTGTTAACACAATGCAGCTCCTTGCTAATGGCCAGCAAAAAAAAAGCAGAGGAAAGCAGAGGAAAGCAGCAGAGGACGACCCAAGTATATGAACCCCTGCCACCCATGTGGCAGACCCAGATGAAGCTCCTGGCTGCTAGCTTCAGCCTCACCTAGACCTGGCTGTTGCAGCCCTCTGGAGAATCCAGAAGGCAGGGAAAATAGCCTGTGTCCCTAGTGCAAACTGATGGCAGCAGCAGCATTCCTGGAATGAGTGCTGGAGTGAATAAATGACACCAGGAGCTGGGTGTGCACATACACTTGGTGAATGCATGATGAGTTCAGAAGAGCGTGAACCTGTGGTTGCATTTTGTATCCCATGCAGGTCTTTTACTGAGTCCAGCATGTAGTCAAGGGAAGCCATGCTCTGTCCATCTGTGTCCCCTTCCCGTCATGTTTGAGACCCTGCACACTTTCAGGGACCATTGCTTTTACCCTTTGCAGCACTTGTGTTGCTTTAAGACCCAGAAGGCTTACATGTGAGATGATTTCTCTGCAATGCCACCCCTTCCCACCCACCCAGCAGGGGCCCACACTGGGTTATTTATCTTACGGGGACACAGCTTTCTCCATGAAGCCATCCCCAAAATAGCTTCGTTTAACCAGGCCATTTGACAGGTTGCCTGGGACTGCTGTAGACGGATACAATGAGCCTTGAACCTAAATGGCAGGTGTCCATTTCCTCATTCAGACTGGAGGCTGATAAGCTTGCCTGGAACCACAGAGTGCAGTGAAAGGCTGGAGAGACCAAGAAGGAGCAGAGAGGGTGGGCTGGGGGCTAAGCCCCCCACCATCTGCACATGCACAAGGGTCTCGAGCTATCACATTCTCTCCATTCCCCATGGGTGTTCAAGCATTGTCACCAAACCCTGTCCTGCAGGGGATGAGGCTGTGATTTTTCAGGTGGCTTTTAGAGACTGACCACACCTGCAGGACACTGGGCAGTTAGTCCTCTCCTCCCTCTCCTGGGTGCTGGGACCAAGCATTTGCCCTCCAGTGCTTTCCCAACCAGATAGAGCAGACTGAGCACCATGAACCAGGTGGTTCACACTGGACTACAGCCCCAACTCTTTCTCCTCGGCCTCTGCCCCGTCACACCCACTGCCCTCCCCTGGTCCCCCAGTCCTGGTATGGCCTCCGCTGTCAGGAGCTTTCCACCAGCCACCAGGCTTCCCCCAGGCAAACTTCAAAACCTGTGCACCTATCACCTGCTTCCCTCCCCTACAGAAAATTCCTCTCTCCTTCAGTCCCTTCTCTTTGCCCAGAGCCTCCACTTGGAGCTCTCTTGGCCACACACTATAGCTCCAACTCCCAGAGGAGCCAGGAGGAGGAAGCAAGCACCGCCCCTACCATCTGGGCCCAGCTCCTGCTGAGGGGCAGCGCTGACCCCTGCTGGGTCCTTCCTGCACACAGGCCTTGCCAGAAGCCCGCGTGCCAGGTGCCCCTGGAGCCTGCCTCATCGGCTACTAACCCATTCTCTCCCTCTCGCCTTCCCAGGGCCGACGAGATCGAGATGATCATGACCGACCTCGAAAGAGCCAACCAGGTAGGATGTCCATGCACCCTAGCATACCCCTGCTGCCATTGGTACATTGAGTGCTCGTCACCCCACCTGTCCGCATCAGTGCCTTATCCATGTGGAAGACCTGTATGGATGAAGTCTCTGGCACTGTCTCAGTATCTCAAACAGCCCACATGGCCACACACTGAAAGAGGGTCTCTTTGTTGTCATTCATCTCTTAACCACCTATCTCTGCTCCCAGCCCCACTACACAGAGCTCTATAGCAGATAGCTTGTTCTAGAAAATTCTATCATGCCCCACAAACACACACACAGTGCTTTGGCAAAGACTCTCACTGACCAACCCCCTCCTGGCCACATCTTAGTTGTCAGACATGTCTTGTGGAACATGTCCGTCCTCTGTGGGAGAGAAGGCTCGACACCTCAGCTGCCTGGAGAATTCAGCCACCCCAGAAGGCCCTGCCTTACACCCAGAGTTCCCAGAAAAAGAGGACACATTGCCATAGTTGGGGACACAGTGTGTTTTCTGGGTTTGTGAGGGACAGTTTGTGCTGTGGGTATCCTCGTCAGCCCCCTTGGTTGTCCTGCTGGCTAGCCTGAGGTTCGGACAGAGGGTGGTATGGTTAGCCTATGGTCACCCAGGCACAGCCCTTCTGTGCTCAGGTCTCTGCCTGTAGTCTCATGAGGTTCACCCCCCCAATTGGGTCACCCCGATCTTGGCAAAAGAACATCCTTGTCCATGGCCATGGAGCCATGGGCCTGGTTGTGGGGGCACGTGGAAGTGTGGCACGTGTCCCCTAGTGAGAGGGACCCAGTGGCAGTTCTGGGTGATTGTTCTGAGTCTGCATCACGTTATCACGTTCCTCAGGTGTTCCTGCTGCACCCACCTCCTCAATGCGCCTTGTTAGAGCACCTAGTTTACAGCTGAGGAGATGGAGTTCAGAGCCAGGACTGAAAGCCCCCAGAGTCTGTCCTTAGAACCTGGGCTCTTGACCCCATACCCAGAAACAGGCCCAGGACACTTGCTGGCCGGGCGCACCCCTCAGGCTCCCACCTCTCCTCCCCAATGTATGTCATTGCTCTAAAGTGCTGCTACTGCCACCTCTGTGCCCTTTATCCTCCAAGCTACTGTGCTCCAGCCCCCAGGATTGACTCGCTTTGCAGCGCTCCACACTGCAGAGCCCTTAAGTCACAAGGCCTTCCTGGCAAGGGCGCTCCTGCTCGGTCCCATGACTGCCCCTTGCACTTCTCAGATTCCCACCCACGCTCTGCCCCAAGGCCAGTGCTGGGCGGGCCTCCCTTCTGGCTGGCACTTGTGCACTGGACCCTGGTTGGTCAGGCCCATGGCCTGATTTCTGTGACTGTCAAGGTCACCAGAGGCGCCGCCCCACTGAGGTCTCAGAGGCCGCGCCCTGTGCAGCAAACACAGACAAGGCTCTGCTCATGGTGCTGCACTCACTCTGCCAGGCCCTCCTCCAGCAAGGCCCACTCCAAAGTGACATCTGGCTCAGGCCCCATTTCCTTGTTGCCTGGCTTGGTGGCCTAAACACATTTTTTTTTCTTTTTAAAATTTATTTATTTTTATTGGAAAGGCAGATCGACAAAGAAAAGGAGAAACAGAAAGATCTTCCATCTGCTGCTTCACTTCCCAAATGGCTACAATAGCCAGAGCTGAACAGGTCCAAAAAGCCAGGAGCTTCTTCCAGGTCTCACACGTGGGTGCAGAAGCCCAAGCACTTGGGCCATCCTCTGCTGCTTTCCCAGGCCACAAGCAGGGAGCTGGATGGGAAGTGGAGCAGCTGGGACACAAACTGCGCCCATATGGGATGATGGTGCTTACAGGTGAAAGATGAGCTATTGAGCCATGGCACTGGGCCCTGGACACATTTCTTATGTCCCTCTCTGCACTTGAGAAAGCCCACATGAGGACAGTGCAGGGAGGAGACAAGCCTGCCACCGGGCCCAGGAGCCGTGGGATTCCAGCAGTTAGATCTGCCGTGGTAGTCCCCTCCACAGAGACAAACAGGACTATGGGAAGAGCAAACAGGCAACTCTTTAAGTGGGTTTGGGATTCTGACTTTGCCAGATCAGCTGCTCAGTTCTGCGCATGCACCTAACATGCCTAAGTTGTACCCTTAACAACAGTTCTGACAGAGGAGGCTGCACTTGGTTCCTCCCTACCTGGAAGTTCCACCTGAGGCCTGGGAAAGCCAGGGTACAAGCCTGGAAGAAAGGGTGTTAAGGGACCTACACTGATTTTCAGAAGGCAGAGAGAGAAGACAGGTGACTTAATACTGGACTCAAGTCATATGAGGGGTGTGGAGTGCCAAGACAGTAGAAGGGGAGAAGGCTTAGGGTGGGGACCATGTGTGTGACTTGCATGCTGATGGCTCTCAAGGACCAGCAGGGGATGGGCACTGGCTGGGCACCACAGCCAAGTAGGTGGCTGACCGGAAGAAAGCATCAGCATGGGGACCCAAGCCCTGCAAAGTTGTGATGCTCCCTAAGAGACTGGGGGTGAGGGAGAGGAAAAGAAAGTGAAAGCCCAGCAGATATGGTGACCCTGACATGAGCAGTCACCTAGGAGGGAGCCTCCCTAGGTGAGGAGTCAGGAAGGGCCTAGCAGGTGCAGGGTCTGAAAGCAAGGGGGCGGGCACTACATGGATAGTACCTCATCCTGTGGTGTATACAGTTCAGGTGCAATTAATCCGACAGCTGCCTTCTCCTTAGAGGGAGCCCCAGAAGTGCAATATCCTAGTTCGTTGGCAAGCAACACTGTTTTTGCACTAGGTTTATGGCTAGCATGTTCAACTGAGAGCCAAAGCTCTGTTTTCTTACTGGGTGTTTCTGTTAGGAAAGAGCCAGGAGAGCCAATAGCAGCTGTGCATTAAGCCATGGGGTCCCCAGCACCTCTCAGCCTAACTTAGGGACACATACATTGGTACATGCCATCTGCAGTGATAACACAAAAGGCTCAGGATGGTTGAGACTTGCCACTTAGCATTGCATGCATTTGGCATGCCTGCAGTCGGACTGGCTGCTGGCTACACCCTTACAGCCACCCAAACCGCCTGCTAGAACAGCTCACAGCCCACCAGTGGAGTAAGGAGGAAGTCTTTGAAATGGACTATTCACTCTCCTGCTGGCCTGCCTGTTGTTTAGGGCACAGGATAGCCCTAACATTAAGGAGCTCCATCAGGTCAAGGTGAGGGTTTGTATTCAGTTTTAACTCCCGTTGGTGGAGGAGGGAGTGGCACAGAAAGCAGAGGGTTCCCGGAGCCAGGCATGGCATCTCCCACCAAGAGTTTGTGTTCCAATGGCAATGATGTACAAGTTCAAAACAGGGACACCTGAGTTGCAATGCCAGGCTAACATCTCCCAACCATGGGGCCCTGCATGCCCCCATCTCCCCAGGCCACCATTTCTCATTCATGGAGTGGCAGTGCTGGGCATCCCTCTGGGTAGACACGCAGCTATTTCCCTGCTCATCAAGCAGGTCTTTTGAGCACCTGCTCTGAGTGGGCCCTGTCAGGGATGTGCCTACCACATGTGGCTGAATCTGCACCTTGTACTGCATCAGCTGCGTCCCTGACTTACTGCCATGACCTGCCAATAACCTTGGGTCTTTCCCATGTCATCTGGACCCCCAGCCCAGGTCAGCCCCTCGGCCATGCAAGAAGGATCCCTGTGAGCGAGGCAGAGGTGGGAGTATGTGTTCATCTTGGTTTGCAGAAACCTTGACTTGGCCCGACCAATAGTGTTTTTGTTTTTTTTAAAGATTTATTTATTTTTATTGGAAAGTCAGATATACACAGAGGAGGAAAGACAGAGACAGAGAAGAAGATCTTCCGTCCGATGATTCACTCCCCAAGTGAGCACAACGTCCGGTGCTGCGCCAATCCAAAGCCAGGAGCCAGGAACTTCCTCCAGGTCTCCCATGTGGGTGCAGGGTCTCAAGGCTTTGGGCTGTCCTTAACTGCTTTCCCAGGCCACAAGCAGGAAGCTGGAAGGGAACTGGAGCCGTCAGGATTAGAACCAGTGCCTGTATGGGATCCCGGCACATTCAAGGCGAGGACTTTAGCCACTAGGCCACAGCGCCAGTGCCCCGGCCAATAACATTTTGCAGGCTATGTTGAAGGGTGAAGCAGGGGTGGTAGAGGATGAGCCCGCTCCAGATGGTGAGGATTCCCCCCACCTACCTTACATCTCAGTTTCAATACCAAGGGAGAATAGAGTACCCTAGGGGACTTCCTCACCTTTCCCCATGCCAACTGTGGCTCACACAGGCTGCCTTGGTGGCATCGCCATGCCTCCCCCAGGCACCCACTCCTGTGTACCCTTGACCTGCTGCTTCATACTCCCTACATCCGTTGGCATCCAGGTGTGCATTGCTCAACACACTGGGGTAAAGCTTTGCTTGACTGCCCTCCCAGGAACCTTCAAGGCCAAGGTCCCTGCAACCCATCTCACCCAGGGACCAGGGCCCCCCTCCTCAACTTCCCCAGAGACATCAGCTCCCCTGTAGCTCTCAGCTGGCCCGTGTCCATAAGGATCAGCACCAGTGCTTGTCGGCTCACTTCTCCTGGGGAGAATTCTCACCAAGGAGGCTAGGTTTAACCCAAAGACCACCAATGGTCTCCCCTACTTTCTGCTACGAGAGTCTTCCACTTTAAGATGCAGCCTGGGCAGGGGCCTGAATGTTAGCTCTCACTGGTTCAAATGCCCATGGGACAGGCGCTGTCAGCACTGGCTTTGGCCGTCTCCCCAGTCCTCAGCCACCTCACAGCGTGGCTATTGCTGTCATTGCAGTCAAGGACACTTCCAAAGGGCAAGCAGTGCACTTGTCACTCATGGGCTGTCCTCCCTCTTCCTGTGTCCCACAAGAAGAAACTGTGCAGGCATGGTGGCGGGGGGTGGCGGGGAGGCGGTCCTCACTGCAGGGCTGCCAGCAGCCTGCAGCCAGGAGTATTTCCCACGGTCTGCCTCCTTGGGCATGGGACAGAGGCCTCGGGGAGCAGGTGCTATCACAAGGAGCAGTTGGGCTGCAAAACTTCAGACTCAGTGGCTGCTGAAGCAGTAGGTGACTCCACAGCACTACTCTGGCTCGTGGGCTCCCCTCATATTGTCCCAGCGGCCCATAGGGGGCTAAATTTAGTTATCAGTGCCACATGCCAATTCATCCTAACTGCATCTCAGTGCCCATTCAGCTGCTCCAGGGCCTGTTTTCTTTTCTTTTCTTTTCTTTTCTTTTCTTTTTTTTTTTTTTCCATCTGAACCAGCTCCTTGGTGCTGGGTGTTTAGGGATAAGCTCCAAAGTACCCAGGGGTACCCATGGTACACAGGGCGACTGTGTCCATGGACATGGAAACTGAATGCCAAGTACAGAGGCCCTGGAGAGACTACGGGCTGCAAATGAGACCTCTCGGGCCAGATGGATCTCTGGTGTTTTGAGCCACCAGCCTTGGACATTGCTGGACTCTCCCCTCCAGAGCCCCCAGGGGTCCTCCAGCCCAGGGTCCAAGCCAGAGCAGCAGGGTCACCCTAGCAGCTGCCACCAGGGAGGCACCTCCATTGGACTAAGACTGTCCTTTCTTAGGCACCAGGCGCTCCATCAGCGATTTGATGACCACTTGATTGTGAGTGTGGCTCTGCTTCTAGTCCAGCTTCCTGCTTATACGCACCCTGGGAGGCAACAGCTGGTTACTTGAGTACTTGGGTCTCTACCATCCCTGTGGGAGACTCGGAGTTTTCTAGCTCCTGGCTTCAGCCTGGCCCAATCCCAGTCACTGAAGGTTGGATGGGAGTGGGGTGTGTGTGTGTGTGTGTGTGTGTGTGTGTGTGTGTGTGTGTGTGTGTGTGTGTGTGTGTGTGTTTTCTGTCTACCTTCCAATAAAACAAAATAAAATTTGGGAAAAAAAACTATCTTGGCTAGTCAAAGAGACCAGGAAATCATGTCTGCATGTGCCTTCTGCCTGCAGAGCTGTGGGGAATCTTAATGTCACAGGGTTCAGCTCATCATCCAGGGAGGCAAGCACTTGAGGCAGATGGCATAACTTCAGACAAACTTGCAACAGCCTATCTGGAAGTGCAACAGCCTATCTGGAAGTACACCAGCTCCTTCTCCCTAGACAGGGAATGTCGCTGCAGTCTGAATAGCTGAGCAGTTAGCCTGATCTAGAAGAGTCTCCCACTTGAAGATGCACTCTCCCTGTCCCTACCATACTGGTTACATGCCGCCTTTCCTGACAGCCAGCTCTAAACTCCACATGGGACAGAGAGGGTGGGAAGAGATGGGCCCAGCCAGCCACCCCAGGAGTCAGGTGAAGCAGGATGGCCAGGCTCCCCAGGAAGAGGACAGGTGGCCAGTAGCCCATTAGAAGGCCTCCACCAGTCTACGGGCATAGCATAAATAGCCAGAGTTGCCCAGGGCTGCCAGCCCTTCCTCCTGCAGCTAAAAGTATGGGCAAGTCCCTGGGCGCTCTTGCATGTGTCTCTGTGATTTCTTTCTTAATAATTAGTGGACAGGGCCCAGCACAGTGACCTAGTAGCTAAAGTCCTCACATTGAGCACCGGGATCCCATATGGGCACCGGTTCTAATCCCAGCAGCCCTGTTTCCCATCCAGCTCCCTGCTTGTGGCCTGGGAAAGCAGTCAAGAATGGCCCAAAGCTTTGGGACCCTGCACCCTCGTGGGAGACCTGGAAGAAGCTCCTGACTCCTAGCTTCGGATCAACTTTGTTCTGGCCATTGCAGTCACTTAGGGAGTGAATCCTCAGATGGAAGATCTTCCTCTTCATCCCTCCTCCTCCGTGTATATTTGACTTTGCAATAAAAATAAATAAATCTTAAAAAATAATAATAATCAGTGGACAGACACCTACAGTCACACACACCTCTGCATGAGACCCAAAACAGCCAGTGTCTCCCTGCCCATCTCAGCCAGTGTGGTGTACCTTACAGAATGCCCAGGTGGCACCTTGCAGTGTTGTGTGCCCAGGGTCTCACTACTATCCCCCACCCACTGAGTTTTGTCTCCATTGTGACTGTAAGGCCAGGACAAGCTGTGGGTCAGCCACTTCTGCGGGAGTCCCATATGCCACACACCTCCCCACATGTGAGACCTGACAAGATCTCCAGAAAGGGGGTGGCATTCCCATTTTACCCATGGGTAAGCAGAGGCTCACAGAGCTTGGGTAACTTGCCCTGGCACCACTGTCCCCAGGTCAGCACAGGGATAACCATCCTCACCATCCAGTGGAAAATGCTAGTTCGCAGAAGCAGTGGTTTCCTTACAGACAGAATGTGGGGAGGGACCACCCACCTCCTCTGGCACCCCCCCAACCCTGTTCTGGGCTCCCCGCTCCATACCTGGCCTCACCGGCTAGAAACACCAGCACAGCCAGCCACAGCATTGCCTGGGGAAGGGTTAAATGTGTCACCATCAGCCTAGCCCACTGCACAGGAGTGGCACTGCCAACTTGCATTTCTGGAAACACTTAAGAGCAGGGAAAAGAACGTGATGTAGACAGAGAATGGCCGGAGTGTCTAATTTGCTGTTTGCCCGTGAGAATTAGTCCCGGGAGTAATCCTACAATAAAATCTTCTTGGTCTATGAGAATAGAAAGAAATTGAATCAAAAGACTCTATTTCCACTTGTATTTATTCAGTCTGGGAAATGCAGTGGGCCGGAGCGTGAGGATCAGCAGGGGATTCCTTGCTCCTAGCGTTAAATTACTGTCATAATCGCTCAATTATTTCTTCCTTGTACTGTTTAAAATAAAAATCCATCACATTCTATGTTTTGGTTTTTTTTCTTCTTCTTCTTCTCCCCCAGCATTTATTAGGTTGAGTGTTTAGGAAAATCAATTATCGTCAGTCAGGCGTGAATTGATGAATGTTCTTGGAATAATTGTCAGTTGTTAAGCTGAACGCACTTTTCTCTCTCGCCCCTTTCCATTTCCTTCAGAGGGCAGAGGTGGCTCAGAGAGAAGCAGAGACCCTGAGGGAGCAGCTATCGTCGGCCAACCACTCCCTCCAGCTGGCCTCACAGATCCAGAAGGCGCCAGATGTGGTGGGTAGCCATGTGGCCGCATGGGACTCTGCACCCTTGGGTGGCACTCCTCTCTCCCAACCCACCCTGCTTGTTGGGGAAGGAGCACTTCTCAGGCCTTGGGGCTACAACTTGTGCAAGTCACAGGCCAGGCTCCGCTGGTCATTGCCCCCGGCTCCACTGTCACCGCCACATCCAGCCAGTGGGCACCAAGGTGGAGGCTGGAGAGACTTCTGCAAAGAGAGAGAGCATCTTCTGCAACAGTCCAGGGCTGACTCCTGGCTGTGAGTGCAGGTCCCAGGGGTGGCCTGCCCAGGGGCAGAGGAGTGAAGCTGGGGGCATGGAGAGGGGTGTCATTCTGGTACTTGGCTCCTTCAGGGAGGAGGACCAGGAATCAGGATTGCCACAGAGGTAACAAGGTGGCAGCTGGTAGCCAGGATCTCCCCTGAGGATGCCCGCCAGAGCGAAGCACAAATCTCACTCCTCCGGCTCCTGGGTTTTCTGAAAATTCCCCAAAGCAGCTCCTAGATGCTGCTTCCCCAGCCTGAGCAAGACAGGACTTCAAGCAACTGGTTCATGGATGCTTACCCTCCAGCTTCAACCATGACCGTGGCCATGAAGACAATGTCATGGCTGATAGCCTGGTGTGGGAGCCAGACCCCACTGGAATCCTGACCCCTAGCTCTGCCATGTCTCCGCTGGTGACCTAGAGCAAGTAGCTGAACCTTGCCAAACCTCAGCTTACCCATCTGCGAAAAGGGGACTTGCAAATTAGGAGCAGAGGGTATAGCCTAAAGCCCGAAAGCCCAACAAAGCTCACCACTGCCACCTCCTCTGGTTGGCATCTTCCTGTTGACTCCCTGACTTCTAGGCCCCCGTTTACCCATTTGGCAAAAGAACCAGTGATCCCGAATCCAGGCCTTGCCACACTCCTAGGTCCAGGGAGCACTGGCAGGGGCCCTGGGGGTTCACAAGGACCCCTGAGATCTTGCTGTGTGCCAGGTCCCCCTTGCAATCCCAGGAGAACCATGAACTCTGGGTCTGGCTCTCTGTAGAAGGGGTTGCATGTCTCCATTTGATGGCCGTCATTTCACCTGTTCCACGGAGCAGGGCTTGTTAACATGAACGAGAGAGCAGAAGCTCCAGAAGCGCACACACCTGCCCCCCGCCCACCAGCATAGCACAGGCAGCTGTTGGCTGACAGCCAGACCAAATCAGCCTTCCAACCCCAGACCTAGCACTTTTAAGCTATTCCCTGGAAATGAACTTCAGACCAGGGTTTGGGGGCTGGAATCCTCCCCTCTCGCTTTTTTTTGTTTTTTAAAGATTTATTTTTATTGCAAAGTCTGATATACACAGAGGAGGAGAGACAGAAAAGATCTTCCGTCTGTTGATTCACTCCCCAAGTGGACACAATGGCCAGAGCTGCGCCAATCCGAAGCCAGGAGCTTCCTCTGGGTCTCCCATGCGGATGAAGGTTTCCAAGGCTTTGGGCCTGCCTCGACTGCTTTCTCAGGCCACAAACAGGGAGCTGGATGGGAAGCAGAGCTGCTGGGATTAGCGCCCATATGGCATCCCAGTGTGTGCAAGGCAAGGACTTTAGCCACTAGGCCACCATGCCTGGTCCTTTTAATTTTTTTTTAATTTAATTTTTCTTTATTTTTATTGAAAGTCAGATTTACAGAGAGAAGGAGAGACAAAGATATTCCATCCGCTGGTTCACTCCCCAGGTAGCCATAACAGCAGGAGCTGAGCTGATCCAAAGCCAGGAACCAGGGAGCCAGGAGCTTCTGCCAAATCTTCCACACAGGTGCAGGGCTTTGGGCTATTCTCCGCTGTTGTCCTAGGCCACAAGCAGGGAGCTATATGGGAAGTAGAACAGTTGGGATATGAACTGGTTCCCAAGTAGGATCCCACCACATGCAAGTAGCCCCACCCTACCCATCAGGTATCCACCATCAGGTATCTGGGTGGAAGCAATGGTTCCAGAAGGTGACAGTCCCGTGGAGCACCTGTCCTGAGCTTGGCACCACAGGCAGTAATGGAGGCTTCAGTGTCCTTTTACAGAGAAGGAACCAGGCTCAGGAGTCAAGTAGCCTACGCAGGTTACACAGCTGGATGATGCACCAGCTATCACGGGAGTCGCCACCCTCCCTTTGGGTATTGAGACGGGACATGGAGGAGAATGTGAGGCTGCGCATGTGGATGACCGTGAGCTTGGAGCTGTGGCCCCACGCAACCAGCCATCTCTCTAAACCTTGTTGAACAGTGAACCCATCTACAAGTGAAAACAGCAGCAGACGCAGCCAGCATGGTAGTGGCAGAAGCGGAGGTGACAGTGGAGATGAAGTGACTCCAAGGTGCAATCCTTCGTCTCACCCAGTGCTGTCAGCAGACCCACAGGAATCACCCCAGACCCCAAGTGTTTGACTCCCGGCAGGACCCTGGCTCACAGTCACCTTGTGGACACTCACCTGTTGTTCTAAGTCTGACACGAAGATAGCTATAAGACAAGATGGTGGTGTTACCAGACTCAGCTGCTGGGCGCCCCAGGATGATGCACATGTCAGCTGTGCAGCTCCAGGCATTTCACACAATACAGCTGGAGCAAGTAGGTGGAATTCGCCCTTGGTGACACTCATTTGGTTGTCACCTAAAGCCTAAAGACCTAAAGCCTTGGTCTTTCCCAGTGTTTTCTCTGCTGCACATGACCACAAGCTGTCAGCCTGCTACTGAGGTCCCCAAGTTCCCGTGAAAACTGCAGAATGCCCCTGCCAGTCCTGGCAGCCTGGAACTATGGGAATTTCCACCCAGGAGACAGACTTGTGGACAGTCCCTACCTGCCCCCCTGCCAGTGTTGGGGCCACGGGTTCTGAACTTGCACTTGAGATCTAGTCCTCAGCCTATGGCTCAGAGCACAGACTTCGTCCCCCGCCCACGTGGCCACCACAAGCCCAGGCACCTCCCACTGCCCATGAAGCCTTCACCATCAGCATCCTGCTTCCTTATAACATGGCCTCAGCCTTGGGCATGCCTTCTCCCCAGCTCCCTGCAACTTCTGGGGCTGAACCTCACCCAGTTGCCCACCCTAAGATAGAGCCCCTCCCCTCTGCAGATTTCACCAGTCTCTCCTCCTGGCTGCCCTCCATATGGTCCCTGCTGGCCCAGGAGACTCCTAACTTGCCACGTTGCCTGGAGGACTCAGCTGAAGGCTCCCCCAGGCTCCCGATGTTGAGCCGGCCAATGTTCTCCCTGGGAGTGCTGGGTTCCCCAACTCTGCAGGTGAAAGATGCTTCCATGTTTGTCTTTTCTGGTCTCACGACTGACAGTGTTGTAAAGGACAGCAGGAGTGCCCCCACAGCATCAGCAACTGTACCGGCCATGAAAAAACTGCTCTGGGTAGCCTATGCCTTGTATCTGGGGCTCACCAGGGTCACTCCCATGCCCGTCCCCAGAGGTGAGCAGGGGTGACCAGCCGATTGTGCAATATCACACAAGTTGGAAAAACAGATAGATGTTAACAGTCTCCCATGGTAAAGGTGTTAAGTTTGCAGATGGAAAATGAAAAACATAGGACTTGCTGGCCCCAGAGGTGACAGCCCCACAGTGGGCACAGCGTACGTGGCCTGGCCCAGCTGCACACCTGGGCAGAAACATCCATCAAGACACGAGACTGCATGCCTGGGGAGATTGGGTGCAGAGCTGAAGATGCGGTGCCCACTCTGCGGACCCCTCCCCCCCATCCCTGTCAGTGTAGCCCCTAAATGTAAGTCCCTCCAGAATTGTCTGGGAGCCTGGGTTACTGGAGCATGGCTCTGCTTGAGTTGCTGGGAAGTGGAGTTACCGCTTCTCTTTGTGAGCACCTTTTACATGTTTTGCATCATAAATGTTGGGGGAGGAGAGTTAAGGAAGGAGTTTTGTTTGTTTTTTAATGTGTCATTGCAAGGGGTTCTGAGCCAAGGGATAAAAACTGCATCTTCCACCTCTTCTTAACTCCCTCAGGGAGTTCATGGATCTCAACTCCTGGATAATGTCATTGAGGGGCTGAAGGCCACTAGGGTAGAAATCTGAGTGACCTGGTGGCCACCCAGGGGCTGTCCACGGGCGCACGCGCATCCCTCAATCAGGACCCCTTGCCATCTTGTACCTCTGACTTGGTGGCTCCTCTGTGGTCCTTACCTCCACCCCACGCTCTTTTCCTTACTAAGAAGTGTGTTTGCTGCACCTCACCCACCCTACCCGTCCCCATGAGGTTGTAAGACCCATGAGGACAGGGCCTCTGTCCCTTGTGTTCACAGTCCTGTGCATGTGGCACCTGCCAGGTGCCAGGGCCCAGAGGGTATGCCCTCCATCCAGCCATCCAGGGAACACCCTGAAGTCAGCACAGATTCTGCCCTGCAGCACCCACACTCATGACCCGAGCACCTGTCCCCAGTGCAGTTTTGTCATCTGTCTTGTTCTCTGTAGGAGCAGGCCATAGAGGTGCTGACCCGCTCCAGCCTGGAAGTTGAGTTGGCCGCCAAGGAGCGGGAGACGGCCCAGCTGGCGGAAGACGTGCAGAGACTCCAAGCCAGCCTCACCAAGCTGCGCGAGAACTCAGCCAGCCAGATCTCCCAGCTCGAGCAGCAGCTGAGCGCCAAGAACAGCACACTCAAAGTAAGGGCGCAAGCACAGTACGGGGACACGGGTGGGACATGCACACGCACACTCCACCTGCCAAGAGATGACAGCGAGCTCGGCAGCCCTCAGCTTCCATTGAGTGGTCCCAGAACCCGATAGGAGCAAGGCAGCTGATTTTGAATGCTGTTAGCTCTTGTGTGAAACACTATTATATACTGGCTTATTTATCTGAGAGACAGAGCTCCCATCTTCTGGTTCATTCCCCAAATGTCCAGGATGGCATGAACTCTAAGCCACAGGTTCGTGGTTGTCAGAGCCAGAAGGATTTAAGAGGCATCTATACCTGTGGCGACAGGGCCAACAAGAGCCAGCAGAGGACCCCTGTTGTGCCCAGGGGCACCCACACAGGGCTTCCTGCGCCCATCCAATGGCACCACAGAGCGCATTGTCTAGTGAATACCACGCAGCAAGGTGAGGTGTAAAATTTAACGAAAACTACAATTGAGAAAATTTTCTTATATAAAATGATTCTAGAATGTAGTTAGGCCCACTGTTATTTTTTTTAATTGTTCTTTAAGTTGTATTGATTTATTTTGAAAGCCAGAGTTAGAGGGAAAAAGGAGATTTGACTGCTGGTTCTTGCCCTAGATAGCTGCAATGGCCAGGGCTGGGCAGGGCTGGCACCAGGAGCTTCATCAAGGTGTTCCATGTGGGCAGCAGGGTCCCAGATACCTAAGCCATCTTCTGCTGCTGCTTTTCCCAAGCTGTTAGCCGGGAGCTGGATTGGAAATGGAACAGCCAGGACTGCAGTCAGCATTTGTGTAGGTTGCCAGTGTCACCGATTACACCCCAGCACAGGCCCCACCTTCTTCTTGACTCTAACCAGGTTCGACCTGGCACTTGGTTTTCAGGAGGCCTGAAAATGCCAGGATGGCAGCAGCTCCCACAACTTGCCCTTGCCAACTTCCCCTCATGCTCTTAGGTGTGGATTTCCTCCAGCTTTTGGGAAACTGGTGGGAACCTGCTCACATCTGTCAGGGTCCGTGGCATTTCTCTCTCCAGCATTTCCTACTCCCACCACCTTGCCCCGGGGAGTGCTGGACTCATCTGGAACTTGGAGATTCACTCTGGTGTGTTCCCATGGTCGCCCTGGCTGACCCTGGTGAGGGCATTTTTAGAAGCTGAACTCGCTGTTCTCCCCTTTGTCACAGCCAAAGCACACACCACAGATGTACCCTGAGCATGTGGTGCCCTGCAGACCTGGCGTTTGCTATTACAGAGAAATTTCTTCTAGAACAGTTAAGGCTTTAATGTTTGCCTTTACCTCCCCCACCCCCCCAAAAAAAGAGAATCACACATTCACAAATTAATGTCCTTTCACTGTATCTGGGGGGAATTCTTTAATACGATGCAGTTAATGAAACAACCCAGCAATCTGCTCCCCAAATCATTGCTCCCTTACCTTCACCTGATCTGATAATCAAAACATGCCCTCTTGCAGCCAGACTTCCCTGATCCAATTCCCTTAACCCCTTGTCAGCCGGAGCTGGGGAGGTCTCTCCCTGACACCGGCCCTGTGCCGGAGGAAGAAGGTGAATTGAATACATTACCTCAGGGCCCCCCCCCTTTTCCTAACAGCATCTCCAAGCTAGGCAGGAGCACAGTCATTAGGCAAATGTCTAATGAATGAGCCCTTAGTGTCCAGTGGCAATGGCCGTGGGCAGTTCCATCCCGCAGTGGTGATTGCTGGGAACCAGCTTAGAACCACTTCCTCCTGAAGCCACTTGGGCCTCATCTTCCTGTCCTTTCTTCCTCTTCTCTCCCCAGCTCATCCCTCCTCCCCTCTAAACCATGTTTTTGGGCTGTGCTTTTCATCTTTGGGGGGGGGGGGGGGCGATGGAGAGTAGGGGAGCTGGAAGCAGCAGGGGAGGTAGAGGCAGTGGGCACAGCATGCCACTTCCAGCTCAGATGCCAATGACTTGACCATGAACCCTTGTCAGTGAGCACTTAGCTCTGTGTTTTCATTTACAGTTCCTTGGGGAAAGGGTATCTCCATCTTCCACCAGTGTGACCCAGAGTCCCACCTACTTTGGGGCTAGTGTAGATTTGCCTCACACTGAAATGCTCCATCTCTTGCCACAGACCTCTCTGTCACTCATGAGCTCAGCCCGCTGGTCTGTCACTCTGCACATTTCCCCCACTCCCTCAGCCCAGGGTTCCACTTTTTGAGTCAAGTTCAAGGTGAGCATGTCACTATTCACATCATGCCATGCACCTGCCAATCCCTAAGCAGGCGTCAGAGCAGGCTGCAGCATGCGGCTGCTCCCTCCCAGCTGATCAGACAGGTCCCCCGGCACAGCCCCGCTGGTAGAAATGATTCTGTGTTGGTAATTGATGGGAGCAAGCCGATGGCCAGGACAAGGCTGTTTTTGATAACTCTGGTCTGCAGTGGGAGCACTGGGATGCCGAGGCGGTGTGATTAGGCAGTCACCTGCAATATACTCGCAATAAGCACAGAAAATAGAGCTCTGGTGGCTTCCGTTGAGAGCAGTAGGTGAGCTAAGAGAATGCAAGCTCCCAGGGGGAGAAATTAGGTTTTTCTGAAGATGCTTTAAAAATCAGTGCTTTCCAGTGGGTGGCGGGGCACGTGTGTTAACGTCACCCAGGGGTCCTCTTCCAAGCTGTGCAGGCTTCCACACATCCTCACCCCCTATGGTGCAGGTAGGTCCAGCTGGGCCTAGACCGTGTCTCAGGCACAGAGCAGGAAAACAGCCTACAAACAGCTTCTCTAGACGTATTCTGTGCCTCTCAGCTGGCCTCCTTGGTTATATAACAGCCTGTGCCATGCAGCCCAGGCCTGAGCCTGCCACTGCCTCCCCTGTCTCCCGTGTCCTGGGGCTTAGCTCAGGCCACCCCTCCATGTCCCACAGGGCACTTTGTATATGGTTGGGCAGGAGGGAAGCACCCTCTGCGGAGAAGGTCAGCCTAGCTCCAGGCCTGGTATCAAGTCCCTCCATGGTACCCTGCAGCCCACATGAGTTGGGCAAGAGGGGGGTGTATCACCTCCAGACTGATGCCAGCAAGCTGAAATAGCAAATGCCCCAAGTCCCAGGGAGCCCAGGGCACAAAGCTACACTGGCATTGTCTGGGTTGGGTCCCAAAGGTACTGCAAGCACTAATTTCAGGAGCAGGAAAGAAGGGGGTGTGGAGGGGGGTGGGTCCTGGTGTCCCAGCAGAGGCACACTTGGTGCAAGGCCCCCAGGGGGCCTTCCCTGGGCACATCTCAGGGTGGAGGCGACCTCTGGCTAGCAGCAGAGGTCATGACCAGTTTTGTCACTTTGCTGCAGCTGGTTGTTGAGACTGGAAAGGCTTACAGAGAGTTTGTTGCTCCAGCCATCGCTGGCAAATCCCCCTAACAGGATGCTCTTGCCTGATTACCTGGTGATCACCTCTGCCTGCAGACAGAGGCTGACCATGTGACATGCAGTGTGCAGGTATTCAGAAAGTTAAGCCAAGTCCTTGCTGGTCTGAGGAGCTGTCCCTGGGTTCCAGCAGGGTCCCTGCTCCTAAAGCTGAAGGTGGCTGTTAGGCAGATACACTGAGTCAACCTCCCGAACCTTTGCAATCTAGTTTGTGGTCAGTTGGGTGGGCAGGAGCCTGCATTTCAGGGGGAAAGGTCCATGCCCCCCACAAGTTTACTCCCTGGTGAGGCCGTATGAACCAGTAGAAAAGGGAGTGCATGCTGCCCAGACCTGGACCCAGAGTTGTGCCCCACAGCCATAGCCCAGCCTGAGCCAGCAGGTCTTCAGACAGCGCTGCCGAGAGTCCACATGAACCGCAGGTGCCCTCGATGCCCATAGGCCATCTGCATGTCTCTGTGTTGCAGAGATCCCTTTGCTGGCATCTTGAGGGCACCAAGGGCCACACTTGGAAGTTTTTCTGCACTGAATACCTCGTTGGCTACAGGCCAAAATGCATGCCTTGTTTTGTCTTGTTATGTTTAAGACACAGCTTCCACTGCTAGCTGCTTTATTCCCCCAAATACCATTAACAGCCGAGATAGAGCCAGGCCAAAGCTGGGAGCCAGAAACTCAGCCCCAGCCACCCAGGGGGGTGGCAGGAAACCAACTACGTGAACCATCACCTGGTGTCAGAAACTCAGCCAGATACTGAAACTTTTTGGATAGGTGGAGTTGGGGTTGAAGAGGAGGCAGTAGGGAGAAGAATGTTCTATCTGTTGGTTCAGTCTGCCAAAATGATTGCAATAGCCAGGGCTGGGCTGGGCTGGGCTGGGCTGGGCTGGGCTGGGCTGAAGCGAGAAGTCGGGACAGCCAGGAATTCCATCCATGTGAATGGCAGGGCCCAAGCACTTGGACCTTCCTGCAATGCTTTCCCAGGTACGTTAGCAGGGAGCTGGATCAGCAGCAAAGCAGTAGGGACCCAAACCTGTGCTCTGATATGGGATGCTTACTTCACTGGCAGCTTAACCTCCTGCACCAGGTTATCAGGCCCAAATGTAGTTGTCTTCAGTAGACCAAACACCCACTCCTAGTACTTGAGTTTTAGATTAAATGTCTGCATTGAGAATCAGCCAGGAGTTTAAGAACTCCAAGTGGATCATCCTTGTAGCAGTTCAGGAACAGCTGGGGAGCATCTCCCAGGCTCTCGGAGACAGATATGCTCTCTCCACCTGTGCTGCAAGACAATAGTGTTTGCGGGACGCCTGGAAGCCCCCACTGGCCCCTTCCTCATGTCCCCTCACCTCTGGTTTCCCATTGGTTCTGAGTCTCCCAATTTTTCAGCTGAGTAATATAAGGCCCTGTCAGGTTAAGCCCACCATCAAGTTCACAGCCAGTCAGGCCAGGAGAGGGCTGGCAGCCAGGCATCTGACACCTGACATTTTCAACCTTCCTAATGAAGCCCAGGTATATTCCTCAGACAGGTACATTTTCCAATCCCCAACATCCACTGCCATGGCCCTGGCTGTGGGGCCACCCATGTGATATTCACAGCCAGTGTCACCTACCAGGGCATGGTAGGACAGTACCGGTCACAGCTTGACTCTATGATGACCATGCCTCATGCATGGCTGCCTCACAAAGGCCTTCGGCCCCTCCAGCCTGCCACTGCACCCATTCTGCAGACTGACAAAGTGAAGTCCCATCCAAAGTTAGCCTCTGTGTCCACTGCAGAGCCAGCATCTGTCAAGCAGCAGGTGCAGGCCTGGCCCCACCCACAGGACTCTGCCGGCTCGCCGAATGCAGGTTCCTGATGCCAAGTGCACCCAGGGTCTGTGTTGCAAGCACCCCAGTGAGTGAGCATTTTCTTCCTCTGGGCAGACAGCTGTGTGTACAGAAGCATGTGCTGTGATCATCAAGTCAGGCCACACATGAGCTGCTAAAGGCATGTAAGCTCCAACTATGGGCAGAAGTAGGCAGGAGTGGTCAAAAGGAGCTCCTGGAGCCCATGCCCCATCAGAGACCAAGCAGGGAGCCATGGGCCTCCTCTTGCAATGAGCGTTTTCGGCATCTGGGGCCAACATAGAATCTCAGCATCAGTGACCCAGAGCTGCCCACGTCAGGCCAGCTCTCTGCTTTGCACAGCTATAGAAGCAACCATGCCACTGACTCGGAAATGGGAAATTTATTCACTTTGCCCCCAGGCACCCAGTTCTCAGTGACCAGTGAGGGCTCTGGGTTCAGGCCCTTGGCCTTGAGCTGGGCTGAACCAGGCTCTCCCCATCTCCCCTGGAGGTCACGGTGCATGCGTGTCATGGCATCTGCAGTGCTGGGCATCCCCACAGCATGTTGTTCCCACTTGAGTTCCACAAAGGCGGAATGGCCGTGAGGTACTTCCTGCCAGGGGACCACTAGGAAGAGCAGATGAAACTGCCTCTAGACCAGTGTTACCCTACTCTGTGATTGTGGCTAAGATGCCATTATGACATGTAAAGTCAGCTCCAGCAGTCTTCAAAACGAAGCAGGCGGAGCCATTTTCTGCAATAAAAAGTCAGCAAGAAATCACCAGCCAGGGCACCACAAGATGGGCTGGATGGCAAGTGCCACCTGCTGTCACACAGACCCCTGGGCCAGTGGGCCACATGGGAATCTCCTCGCCACAGTGAGGACTATTCCTAGCTTAAAACTACAGTCTCGATTGTGCTGGTCAAGCAGAGCCTATCAGGCACCAGTTGATGGGCAGATACCCAGGATTCAGGAAAGCCAGTTTGTTCACTTCTGGCTTGAAGATATGCTGACTGCCTCAGTTTCCCCAGGGGACTCCCTCAGGAGGAAGTCAGAAGCAAAGTGGGCCTAGCAGGAAGCCAGTAGCCCTGCCTAGCCAGAGGCCCTGTGAGCCACAGCCATCTTGCAAGTCCTCCAGGAGTTCCAAGCTGAGCCAAGCACCTTAGAGCATCTTCATACTTGGGAACCATCAGTGGTCAGTGTCAACTGTGCTTGCAGAAGCCCCATCCATAGCCAGGCCACCTCTGCTCCCACAACCTTGCCTGCCATCCAGGGGTCCCCGCCTGCACATGATTTATTTCCCCCCATTAGCTGCTGAAGCTCTCCCACAAAGAACCTGCAGTCCGCAGGACCCCCACCAAAGGGGTCTTGCAGCTACCAGCCAACTTAGCCAGCTAAATTTTAGTGCAAAACCTCTCTGTGCTGCTTTTACATGCCGGGAGCCTTTCCCTTTCTTCCATGAGCTGCTTCATGGTATTTCACACAGAACAGATGCTTTCCCATTCCATTGGCCAGTTTGGAAAGCAGCTTTCTCCTGCAGCCATCATGTCAGGTAGCCATGCATATTGTCACCAGACTCCAGCCAGTGGTGAAGGTTTGCTGGCCCTATCGAGGGGGTAGATGCAGTCAGGGAAAGGACTTGGCATTGTGGCCCAGCCTGTGGTCACTCACAGCCACTCATAAGATGCCTCTGTTTGCGCTCTGTTTGCAGCAACTGGAAGAAAAACTCAAAGGCCAGGCTGACTATGAAGAGGTGAAGAAAGAGCTCAAGTAAGTACGCAGCTGCCTGATGCCCTGTGCTGGCCAGGCCTCAGGGGGCTGCCTCCTGATAGGTGGGCCAGGGCAGCGTGCCCCATGCAATTTCATGTTTCCCTGTGTGAGCCAGGCCTTGGCAGGGGGCACCTGCTGACAGGTGGGCTAGGGCAGTGTCCCACATGTGGTTCCACACTCCCCTATGTTGTAGATGTTTGCACCGAGACCTGTCACAGAACTCTTCCAACTTCTCATAGTACTCTTATGTGTGTGAAGTATAGAGCGGAGCACATGCCTTCTGAGCTCAGTCCCCCAGCCCACAGAGTGCAGCAGCGGGAAACAGCCATGCCGTGAAGGTGTGCCTTTGGCCATCACCTCCTCCCAGCTCCATCCTACAGTGTCAGCGCTCACAATCTCATGCTTCCCTGGCCCAGCTCCCAGCCTGGGCCTCCTTCTGTTTCCTGGTGTCTGTCTTCCTAAGTTCATTGTGCTTCCAGCTCATAGGCTACCCCTCTCCCCAGCCTGCAGCCCCCATCAGCTTCCTCCACTGAGCGTACAGCTACCCCTTGACCTTCTGCCTTGCGACTTCCAGTCTCACCCTGGCTTCACTTCTGCTCTGTGTGGTCAAGACGCGGCCAGAGGAAGTTGCTGCAGTGTCGCGCCCCAGCTCCTCCACATAGCATTCGTCGTTGTACGGAGGGCCTATCCCCATCTCCGTCACTCTCCTCCACCCCCAGCTGCACCCACAGTTCTCTTTCTGCAGACACCTGTAGCCCCTGCTGAGGATGGAGTCCTTCCCTCTGGCCTCAGCTGTTTTCTGTTGTGCTCTGAGCTGAGAAAATGGCCCTTGGGCAAACTCCATGGCCATAGGATCACTCCTGGCCTTCCCAGCGAGGGCTTTCTTCTGTCCACACTGTGCTCTGCTGCCACACAGGCTCAGACCCTCCACAAACTCCATTCTCACCAGCCCACTGTCAGTGTTCGCTTCCACCTGATGGACCCATACCTGCTTGCCCCTCTTGTCCTCCCTGCAAAAAGCAGAAATTGGGTTTCAGGTTTTAAGGCTGAAGAACTGTCTTTAAGACCTTAGCTTGGGCCCCTCCCTTGGGTCCTGGGCCTTGGTCCTACCCTCCTCCTCACTCTCCGTGTTCCCCAGGAGCTGAGATCAGATCTGGGTGTTACCCTGCTCTGTCTGCAGCCACCGGAGCCCTGCCCTGCTGGGGCTGGGGCTGAGGCTGTGACAGGGCCCTCATCCTTGAACCTGTGCCCCTTACAAGTTACCGTCGTTGACTAATGCATGTTTCCTAGGCCAGGGGAAACCTGCCTTCTTATCCCTCTAGATATAATCATATATAATGACGAGATCCCAAAGGACACAGCAAACGAGCTGCAGGAGTGTGGCTGCAGACACGGGGAGGCATGCTAAGAACAACCCCAGGTCCCGAGTGATGTTGCCACCAACCCGAACTTGCCCCAGAGGGCTTTGATCTGCTTCCTTCTGTGCCTCTTGTTCCTCTGTTAGCTTCCCTCATCAGGATCGTCACAGGGATCACAAACTCCAAGGCACGGGTTCCAACCAGCATGGGACACAGAGGGTGACCCTAACCTCCCAGGGCTAGCAGCTCTGGCTGCTGATGGCTCAGTCCCACACCTTGTGCCATGTTGGCAACACTTTGTGGTCCTAAGGACATACAAAGCCCCCGAGGATTCTGGGAAAGTCTGTGTCACAGCCTGTCCGTGCTGAGCCCCATGCAGGCCTCAGGAGGAATCCTTGTGGCGCCTCCTGGCCACGCAGCCTCCCTGATCAGCTCTCCTGAGAAAAGGGAAGTCCACAGCCAACAAAATGTGAAAAGCTGCACCTGTTGGCTGCATTCACCCAGTCCTTGGCCTTGCTCAGACAGCCTTGGGGATGGCCGTGCAGAAGCCAGCCATGGAGATGTCCCACCTCCCTATGCTTGGGGCTATATGCCTCTTGTGGCTGAGCCATCCAAGGTGGGCCATTGCTCTGTGCCCAGCTTCCCCCAGGGTTCCAAGCAGGTGCCAAGGCTGTGAGGAGCTCCTGTGTTTCTAACTTGCTCATTACAGTTCCATCCTCTCCTGCCACTCAGTGATGTCAGTGCAGTGTGACTGTATTCAACCTCAGGGATTCAGCTCCAAGCAGATCCAGTGTGTGTGACTCCAGATGGAGTGATTTACATGCTGGGCAGGAAACCTTGCCAGCCAACTGCTCACTGCATACCAGTTATTGCAGAGCCACCATCAGATGACAGGACCAGGGCCCAGGAGATGGTTGCAGTAGTCTGGCCCTTCATTTCTGGAGAACAGGGACTCCTCGTGTCTGTGCCGATGGGTGAGGCTGTAAGTGAAGGGTGCCACACAGGCAGTAACCCCTGTGTCTTCATCTTTCAGTATCCTGAAGTCAATGGAGTTTGCGCCATCAGAGGGAGCTGGGACCCAGGTACGCAGTCTTGTCCCTTCACTGTCAACACTGGCATCACAAGCACTGTGGCCACTGTGGTGCCTCGAGCTCACAACTTCTCCAGGAACATGGAACCGAGAGAGAGCGAATCGCCTCTTCTCAAAAGCCAAAAAGTCAGTGTCCTTGAAGTGGTAGCTCAGTGCAAACCATGACTGTGCTTGCGCCAGTCCTAAGAACATAACCAGTGAACCAAGCCTCAGGTCAGCCAAAACTGGTCTGGCTCAGTGCCTTTGGAGTAGGGTGATCAGGCACCCAGCCACCTGGTGGCTGACTGGAGGCATGTTCTGAGCAGGGGCTCGCACCCACAGCCCAAAGGCTGTGGTATCTCTGAGACTGGCAAGAGGAAAAACCCATTACCTTCCCAACAGCCCCTGGTTTCCAAATGGGGTGCAGATTAAGACCACTTGAGTTTGGGCACAAAATCGAGACTCATTACCTACCTAGAAGGTTTGGAAGAAGTAAAGAAGAGAAGGGATCCCAGTGGGCATTAACTCTGCCTCAGAGGCACCTGCAAGCTTAGCACATGGGTACTAGGAATTCAGCTCTGTGTAACAGGTGTCATAGGCACACAGTAGGCCCGGGTGGAGGAGTGGGCAGGCAGGGCCCCAAGGAGGCACATGAAGACCCGGCCCTCAGTGAGCTCCACTCTGCCCCTTGCAGGACTCGGCCAAGCCCCTGGAGGTGCTGCTACTGGAGAAGAACCGGTCGCTGCAGTCGGAGAACGCTGCCCTGCGCAACTCCAACAGCGACCTGAGCGGTAGGTGCATAGGGTCCCGCGTGGGGCTCTCGCTCGCTTCACTTCCAGGGCTCGCGGAAGAGGAAGACCAACCGTGAGTGTGGGCAGATGCATGGTGGGAGCGTCGCCGTGACTAACGAGCGTCTGGTCTTCTCCTCTTCCTCCTCACTGCTGTCCCCCACCCTGCCCGCCCTGCTGAAACCCGGCGACAAGATGCGTGGCGCCGCAGTGCCGTCTGCAGAGGTCGGCGAGGGGGTGGGTGTTGTCCGCGTGCCCGCCAGGGGCAGCTGGAGGATGGTGTGGCTTCTCGGATCTTCGCCTCAGTTGTGTGCAAACAGGCCAGGTGCAGGCAGGCGCAAGCGTGGCCTCCTGCTGGTTGTGTGTCTGGGGGCTGCTTAGAAAGGCTTAGTGGCGCTTCTCTTCCTGGGTCAGGTTTTCCTGGGGGATGCGTCCCCATCCTTAGCCTTCCTTTGCTCGTCCCAAAACGGTGGTGTCACTGACTGTGCTTTGGGTTTTGGCCGCTTGGCAAACCGCGTCCTGATGTCTTGGGCTCCGATAATGTTGCGGTCGGTCTTTACACGCGCGTGTGCGCCTTCGATCAAACGACTCGGTGCGGTGCCTGCGCCTCAGAGCACATGGCGGGGCGTGCACCCATGGGTCCCCAAATGTCAGTGTTTGCTGCTCTTCGGGCGGGGGGACCCGCCACCTGTCGGACTCCCCTCCTGTGTGTGTCACCAGCTCCTTGTCACTCACGCTAGGAGTTTGAGTCTTTGTCGAGGGGATTCTCCAGGCTGCAACGTACAAGAAAGGTGCAAACAGGAATGCATGTGGCTTGTCTGGGGGGCCTCGTTTGGCTGACTTTAACAAATTCAATCGAAAAAACAAACCAACACACTGCATTTGGCCCTGGTACAATCCGCACTTTTTTTGTTCTTTCCATTCCCTTCCGTGGGGGCACACTTTGCATTTTGGTCTTGGTTTTTTTTTCCCTTGGGAATTATCCCCCATAATGCATTCTGTTTGCCCTTCCTTGTAGGGTCAGCCAGGAGAAAAGGGAAAGACCAGCCGGACAGTCGGCGCCCGGGACCTTTGCCGGCCTCCCCTCCTTCCCAGTTGCCCCGCAACACGGGGGAGCAGGCTTCCAATACTAATGGTACACACCAGTTCTCACCAGCGGGGTTAAGTCAAGACTTTTTCAGCTCGTCCCTGGCAAGCCCCAGCCTACCCCTGGCTTCTACAGGAAAATTTGCACTAAACTCTCTCCTCCAGCGACAGCTAATGCAGTCCTTCTACTCCAAGGCCATGCAGGAAGCAGGCGGCACAAGCGTGATTTTTCCAACAGGTCCATACAGCACAAACTCCATACCTTCCCAAAGCCCAATACAACCAAGCCCAGATGTAAATGGCATGGCCCCGTCTCCCAGCCAGTCAGAGAGCGCTGGGAGCGCCTCCGAGGGCGAGGAGATGGACACTGCAGAAATCGCCCGGCAGGTCAAAGAACAGCTCATCAAGCACAATATCGGCCAGCGCATTTTCGGACATTATGTCTTGGGACTGTCACAAGGGTCCGTGAGCGAGATTCTGGCCCGGCCCAAGCCCTGGAATAAACTGACTGTGCGTGGCAAGGAGCCGTTCCACAAGATGAAACAATTCCTCTCCGACGAGCAGAACATCCTGGCTCTTCGCAGCATCCAAGGCAGACAAAGAGGTGAGAGACATCCCCGCAATGGCCTGGCGCTGGCGGGGGGGAACCTGTGTGTGTATGCGCATGTGTGCATGTGTGGCTGTGTGCGCACGCGCACATGTGTGTGCCTGTGTGATAAAACATCCACATATCACATCAGCTATGATTCTGTCCAGTGGCCACTATGGCTAGAGTTTCAGGGGGCGGCCAAGCGTGAGTTAAACTGTTAGGTTGGGGACATCCGACCTCAGTAGCTTGGCCTAACACCTTGTACTTTGCGACCTTGGTCCTCACACACCCTGCCTTGGACTAGAAGGAATTAATGGAACACACCACCTGCCAGCATGGTGGGCATCGCCGCTCTGGTCAGACCCAGGTGCTGCTGGCCTCATGCTGGAAAGGGCCTTTGAATACCCTGCAGCCCCATAGCAGCAGCAGTGGCACTGGCTGGGCTCTGTCCTCTGGAGTGGGGAGGGGAGAGCGAAGCAGGGCCCCAGACCTCGCCTCTCCTGCGAGGTCACCTCCCCTACAGTGTTAGCCACTTGTTTAGCACCGTGAGCAAAAACCTGCCCTGAGTTAACAACAGGAAAGTTGCATTCCAACAGCCTTCCTCCTTACAACACCTTCCATGCCAAGGTAGACAGCAGATCACATCTGGGACTTAGAGAACTCCTTCCCTCTTCTAGAAGTAGGGGCTCCCGCTGCTAAACCAACAGCGCTAGAGAGAGGTGGTTTGTCAGACGTGCCTGAAATTGAGTGCAGTGACACAGGCTGGTTGGTGCACATGTCATCGTGCATGGAGCACAGGCCCTTGGCAACCACGTTCACTGACTGGGTGATTCACGTGTGTTCCATGCTGGGCTGTGGGCAATTGAGTGGCAAGCAGTCCGCCCTCCATTCAGCCCTCTGATAAACCTTGACAGCGGAGCCATGTCAGCCAGGGAGGGGCCTCGCAGAAGTTTCTGTCTAACTCCCAAGCTGCCCACGGAAGCCCTGAGCCCTCTCTTTTAGCAGCAGGTGGCTCAGATTTCATGTCACACAGCCCATGTCGTCAACACCACCATCCCCTGATTGTTTTGTTCTTACCACACTTGTTTTTCAACAGAGAATCCAGGCCAGAGCCTGAACAGACTATTTCAGGAAGTACCGAAACGAAGAAATGGGTCTGAAGGTATGTCGCAGGCAGGCGTTTTTCCTTGCGATCTGTAGCCTAGGAAGCAGCATGTCCTTAAAGCTGTGATATTTGGGTTACAACTGCGCAGTGTGTTTCTGGCCTGGAACCTGATTGGAAAAACAGAGCTAGTAAGTATAAAACAAGGCACGGGTTCAGGGGCGCCTAGCCCCTTCCCCCTGAGCCGCCCGCCCTCTACTGAGTGCGGAGCGCACACGAGGCGCCCCTCAGAGTAGCACCCCCCTAGACTCACATCCTAAAGCCCTTCCAGAGTCAAGTGATGCTTTGCCCGCTGTTCCCAGAAGCAGGTGAGGGAATGGTGCTTGTTGCTGGGAGAATGCTGGGAGAACAGTCAGATGATCAAGTGAAATCAGATAACCGCCGCTGCCTCTTCCTAATTCCGAAACCTGTCAAAGGTCCCACCACACGGAATGACCCCACCCATAACCCATGTTCGTGGGGGCCTCAGCGAGCCAGCTACCATCAGCCACCTTCCACCTTCCTTCCTCCAGCACCACGGTGGGCTGGATCTTAAGTGGCCTTACACAGGCAGACCTTAGCACAGTTAAAAGTGGAAAAAGTCTGAGCGGCTTCCAGGAAGCACTAGGGCCAGCCCCTGGACTGCAGCGGCTTCCATGCGTCCACACATGTGGCAGATCTGTAAGGCCTTGCTACCACGTGGCTGGCTGGCTGGCTGGCTGGCTGGCTGGCTGGCTGGCTGTCAGGACACACTTGATTCTGGGGAATTCCCCACAGGCTTCTCTTCTGGTTCCTAGATGTCAAAGAGACAGCAGGTGGCAACGGAGCCGCACAGTTTAAGAGAAGGCTTGTGCCCCCTCCCCTGTGCGTCTGAGTGAGTGACAGAGCAAGAGCCCCTGCCATTTGCCCTACTTCCCCTCTGGGTTCCTGCATCCATCCGGGATCCTAGCCTGCAATGAATGAACGGGGCTCGAACACAGTCAGGCTGTAGCCGTGGATGGAGCTGCTCTTAGATGCTCTTGGAAAGCAGGGCCTTTGCATCCTCTGTGTCATCTTCCCCTGGGCCACCCAATTTGTCCTCCCTGTTACTAAGCCACCGGGACTGTCTAGCTCCAGTCAATGCGAGCAGCGCTCGCCAGACAGGAAGCCCGTCCTGCGTGGGCCAGGGGCTGCTGCACCTGTGAAGCAGAGGCCAGAGGAGGCCACGCCCACCTCCTCCCAGCACTCGACTCAGGGCTTTTTATCAGAGCAACATCTGTGTGCGGCACTGGTCCCTTATTCCAGATTGGGGTTTGAGGTCATCGCTATAACTTTCTCCCCACAGGTAACATCACCACCCGGATCCGCACTTCGGAGACTGGTTCCGATGAAGCAATCAAGTCCATCTTGGAGCAAGCCAAGAGGGAACTGCAGGTGCAGAAAACTGGTACGGCCACCCTGACAACCTTTTCCTCCTCCTTCCCCTCTGCCTTCTCAGACACAGGGGACAAGGCGGTTGTGGGGTGAGATGCAAGGGGAAGAGGGGTGCTCTGGTCAGCAATTGTTCCCTTCATCTGTGGTTTTCCACCAGCAGTGGTTGTCAAGCATTTAGGTCTAGGCAACATCTACGTCATCACAGGTCACAGGGCTCTAGCATTCCTCAGGCAGGCAACCCTGGGCTAGAACCTCCTTAACTTAACCAAAGTCAGCCAGTAGCAGTGCAGTACCAGCCTTTGTGGTTCGTAGTCAGACAACTCCAAAGGGATAGGCAAGACATAAATGTTTAGTGGCTGCTCGCAGGAGATGACCATCACCAGGGAGGGTGGGCAGCTCCTTAGGGTTGGTGGGCACTGCCCATGTCACCACACTGCCCCTTCCCCCATTCCCACCTGAGCTGGGATTTCTGGGATGGAGTGCCAGCTGCCACCAGGCAGCTGTTTTGCATCCTCTTCCTCAGGGTCAACATGGGACCCACACCTGCCCTTCACCCACATGCCCAGCCCAGCATCCAGCAGTGCTGACAGCTGAGCTTGTGTCTGCTTGCTCACTTAGCATGTGGGCTTATCACTCCTGTCCTCTTGTCTGTGGACAAGTCTGGGGCTGAGTGTCATCCCCCACACACCCCATCCCACTCAAACTGAGCCCTTGGAACCCGAAAGATAGATTGTGATAGCTTGATGCTCCTGATTACAAGCTCAGCTCTAAAGCTGAAGTCGTTTGCCAGTACTTTAAGTAGTCACCCTGGCTGGAAACCCTGGTTCCCCCCTATCTGTAGTCCCAAGCCCTTGCTGCCACCTGCCTTCTTCCAGGGGTCCCAGAGCAGTGAGTTGCCATCCCTGTGGGGTTTTAAGCCTGGCAGAGGTAGGAACCTGCCTCCTGGCTGCCATTGACCCCCTGTGAGGTCCCAGCAGGGAAGCCCCAGCAGGGATCTCTTAACAGGAAGGCCTGCCCCAAGCCATTGACTCCCTTCAACCACAAAGTAGTGGTCGTACTGCCCGCTCCCCAAGGATGCTGGGCAGAGCACTCAGGAAGCCACAGAGGCCGTGGCTGCCTTTGCAGGCATTTCCTAGCATCCTTTAAAGTACCCAAAGAGCCCACTGACTTGATCCCCTCCCCCAGCTGCCAAGGCATGTAACATGGGGGTCCGCTGGCCCACTGGCCACATCACAGTTCCAAGATTTATTTGAATGTCATAATTAGAGAGAAAGAGAGATCTTCATCTGCTGGCCCACTCCCCAGTTGGCCATAATGGCTTGGGCTTAACCAGGCTAGGAGGCCCATCCAAGTCTTCTGAGGTATAGCAAGGACCCAGCGGCCATTTTCCCACTGTCCTTCCCTGGCCACCAGCAGGGAGAAGTGGAGCAGCGAGGACACAAATCAGAACCCACATGGGATAGGTGTCAAGCACTGGCTTTACCCACCACTCCGCACCCCCAGTCCCACTACTTTTATTATTTTCACTGAAGAATATGACATTTTAAAAGATTTAGTTATTTGAAATATAGCAGAAAGGAGGAGAGAATCTTCCACAGCTGGGAGCTATACTCTGCAAGTGACTACCATCTTCCATCTGCTGGGAGATTTACTCCCCAAGGCTGGGCCAGACCAAAACTAGGAACCAGAAGCTTCACCCGGGTCTCCCACATGGGTACAGGGATCCAGAAACTAGGGCCAGCCTCCACTGCTCTCCCAGATGCATTAGCAGAAACAGATTAGAAGTAGGACAGCTGGGCCTCAAACCGGCGCCCGTATCAGATGCTGATGTTGCAGGTGGCTTTAGCTACTACACCACAAAGCCAGCCCTGCTGTTTTCTTTAAACCAAAGAAGAACTGCACCCAGGAGTTAGGTACCGCGTGCTAGCTCAGTGCACATACTCATCCTGTCTTGCCAGTTGTTCAGGGAGGTCGTCCTGGAAGATTGCCTGGGAGGGCATGTCCAGCTGGTGTGTGGCACAGGCCACTGGGTGGATGGCAGTAGCGTCAGATGGGACACCAAAAGGTCTAGGTGGCAGGAAGGGCCAGGCCCACCCCCTGACCCCAATGTCTGCCCTCTGCAGCAGAGCCAGCCCCGCCCTCCTCGGCACCAAACAGCGGGAATTCGGACGATGCCATCCGCTCCATCCTGCAGCAAGCCCGCCGGGAGATGGAGGCCCAGCAGGCTGCCCTGGAACCCCCCGCAAAAGCCACCTCGCTGCCCCAGCCTGACCTTGCCCTGCTCACCCCAAAGCTGCTGTCTGCCTCACCCATGACGGCCGTGTCCAGCTACTCTCCTCTTGCCATCTCCCTGAAGAAGTCCACCGCAGCCCCCGAGGCTGGCGCCTCGGCTCTGCCCAACCCCCCGGTCCTTAAGAAGGAGGCTGCTGAGGGCCCCGGGCTGGACGCCCCGGGAGCAGCCGACGGCAGCCAGGGTGTCCTGAGGCACGTGAAGGGTGGCGTGTGGAAAGACTCCTGGTGGGGCACCATGCAGCCTGAACGCAGGACCCCCGCCTCTGCTGAGGAGGCCAAGGCCGACGAAGCCAGCAGCGGGAAGGAGAAGGCGGGTGGCAGCCAGCCACGAAGCGAGCGTGCCCAGCTGCAGGGCCCCTCATCCTCAGAGTACTGGAAGGAGTGGCCCAGCGCCGAGTCCCCCTACTCCCAGAGCTCAGAGCTGAGTGTGACGGGGGCCAGCCGCAGCGAGACACCCCAGAACAGCCCCCTGCCTTCCTCCCCGATTGTGCCCCTGGCCAAGCCCACCAAGCCCTCTGTGCCACCGCTGACCCCTGAGCAGTATGAAATCTACATGTACCAGGAAGTGGACACCATCGAGCTGACGCGGCAGGTGAAGGAGAAGCTGGCCAAGAACGGCATCTGCCAGAGGATCTTCGGGGAGAAGGTGAGCGGCCCCTCAAAAAGCCTGGGTCTGCCCCTTCTGCACAGCAATGCCCTTTTCTTAAAATGTGCTGATTTGTTTGTTTGTTTGAAAGACAGACTTACAGAAAGAGAGATAAAGAGAAAGATCTTCCATCCACTGTTTTACTCTCCAAATGGCCACAATGGCCAGAGCTGGGCCAGTCCAAAGCCAGGAGCCAAGAGCTCCATCCAAGTCTCCCACATGAGTGTGCAGGGGCCCAAGGTCTTGGGCCATCCTCCACTGCTGTCCCAGGCCACAAATAGGGAGCTGGATGGAAAGCAGAATATCTGGGACTTGAACAGATACTCTTATATGGAATCTGGCCTTGCGTATGGCAGCTTAAAATGCTGTGCCACAACGCTGACCCACACCTCCCAATTGAATCACCCAGGAACATCACATGTTGCTTTCTCCCATATTTCCAGAGGGGTCCCTAGCAAAGGTTCCCACCTCCTGGATGCAGCTGCTGCTGAGGCTCCTACAGGCCAATTCCCAGTTCCCCCCGCTCAGCTATATCAGGGGGGCATGATAAAGTCACCAGGTGATGGACAAGGAAACTGAGTCAGGGAAATCAGCTATTCAGCCCAAGCTGGCAGGTGAACTGAGCCCAAGTCAGTCCTCTGCCACCAAGCACAGCTAAGAGGGACCTCTCCTGGGCATTCTGGGATGTGACAGGGAAACTGCCTTGAGCCAGGCGTTCTCCCCACACACACACACAACGGTCCAGTGCTGGCAGCCAGGAGGGATGGGGCCGCCCTCCTTGCCACACTGTCCATCCCTTCCCCAGGAAGTACTAACCTCCAGGTTATCTCTGTCCTTGGCACTGGTCAGACTCCAGATTGGGGGCATTTACCATACCCATCAATCATCCGATAAGCACCCGGCCCCAGTAAGCATACTGAGCTGTGAGTTCCTAAATCGAGAGACACACTCCACTATGCCTTCCTAGCCGACAGTGCCTTGAAGCTGCCCTGAAGCTTGGGGCTCTGTATTCCACAGCCCCGTGAGCCCTTAGTACACCTGTCATCCTCCTTTCCCAAAAGGTGCTAGAGGTGAACGGAAATGAGGGGGAAATTTCCACCAGCCTCGAGGAAATTCCTCGCTCAGCAGTGTCAAGACACCACCTGAGAAGGTTACAATGGATGTCTGTGCCCTGTCTTAAATGTGGCCAAGACTTAATAGCGCTGAACTTGCTTGGCCCTGGAGTATGGTTTATTCTGGAACAGAACCTTCCCAAAGAGTGATGGGAGGCTGCCCCTAAATATCCCTGGCTACATCTGCGCCTTGGGCGGTGTTTGTGCCCATACATATGCATGGCCATCTGCGTGCAGCCAGGGAGCCGGGAGACGGACATGCGGCTTGTCACCCACTACAGCTCAGCACCACTCCCAGCCTGGCTCCATGCCCCCTGCAGCCCTCCCCTGGGGCCGCTTCCCCCACCTCAGAGCAGGCCATGACCAGAGACAGCTCTGAACCTTGCTCAGTGCCACTCTGGGCTCACTGACAGCTCAGGGGCTGCCTCTCAGTGCCACCAAGCAACAAGCAGGACACATGCCCCTCACTACTTCCTGTCTTGCTGCAGGGGTGGCAACCCTGCAATCTTGGCAGGATCAAGACCATCCTTTTCTCCCTAGCCTGTCTCTCCCTGAGCGCAGGAAGCTGCCCTCCACATCCTATGCCAGGGCATCAGTCACCACCAACCCCATGCAAGGCCTGTGGTCCTCTGTCCAGAAGTCCTCCCCAGATGCCTCTTGGGTGTCATCACCTCTGCCACGCAGCTGCATGTGGTACTAGCACATCTTGTGGCATCTTCCAAACACTAATGGGTCATGTGCTTCCGTTGTCACTGCAGGTGCTGGGCCTGTCCCAGGGCAGCGTCAGCGACATGCTCTCCCGGCCAAAGCCGTGGAGCAAGCTGACCCAGAAAGGTCGGGAGCCCTTCATCCGGATGCAGCTCTGGCTGAATGGCGAACTGGGCCAGGGCGTCCTGCCTGTCCAGGGGCAGCAGCAAGGGCCAGGTAAGGGTGCATGCAGGGAGGGTTGGGGACGAGGGACAGAAGGCCCTCACTTCCCAGGACAGGGACCAAGAATAGCTCCTGGGAGGACTGCCCCACCCCCTGCCACCTGTCACCATGGGACCAACCGATTTTTAGGAGAGAGAATTTGTGCCTGGGCTAATTTTATAAGCAGCAGAAAATGAGTTCCCAATTAAGAAAATGCTGTTTACACATAAATATAGGTAAAAGTCAAGTGGCTAAATCAGGAAATCAGCAAAGAAGCCAGCCGAAGACACAGACATGGAAAATGTCATGGGTGATGGCTTCCGGCCATCCCCACCAGTATCCTGGCTCTGTAGCCCGGTGCCACGCCCACCCCAAGGAGAAGTGAGCCACCTCCCAGCCCTGCAGCCCCAGGACTCTGAGCACACCCCTCCTGGCGCCACAGCCAGTTAGGAAGCTGGGAGCCCCAGACCTCGTGTCCTTGTCTAACCCTGACCTTTCTCCTCTTCAGTCCTCCACTCAGTGACGTCACTACAGGACCCCCTGGCGCAAGGCTGCGTGAGCTCAGGTAACTAACCCATGTGTACTGTTTCCTGCCAAAAATGTCGCCGTCATGTAGGTTCCCCCACAGAGAGATGTCTGGAGGGTTTGAGGTTCTTGAGGGCCTTATGTGCCCAGGAGGCCTTATGCCTGCTCAGAGCGGGAATCTGGAGCAGAGGGATATGGGGTCCTAACGGCTAAGGGTCCACATGCCCCTGGGAGGAGAGCCAGTAATGCCCAGGAGACAGGAACCAAGCTGGAAATGGCTTGTGGGGAGCAGGTGGCAGAGGGACAAGTTCAAGCCACCTGCCATCACCAAGAAAGCCCAAAGGTCTAGGGTAGACTGGGCCTCTCTCCCCTGAGGATACCTGGCGCTGGTGCCTGGCATGGCTGACCATAGCCCCGCTCCCATGTTTCTGTCACCTTCTCCTGCCTAGTCCCTTATGTCAGCCCATGTGTAAAAAAGGGTGCAGCTGCTGGACTGTGGCAGCTAGGGGAGGGAATCCCAACAGTGCAGGTGCAGTGGCTGCCCTGCGCAGGCACCCAAGTCCCCAGCAGAGCAGCATGCATGGTGCACGTGCTCTCATCTGAGTTCAGCCAAGCTAGGGGACAGAAGCTGCAACATGGCAGCTGCCTTCCCCTACACTCAAGTGGCCATCTAGGTCCATGTCCAGAGTGCCCTGCTTAGCTGGACAAGCAAGAGTTTCTCCAGCATGGCAAACATCAGACATGGTGGACAGTGCCAGAGCCTGTGGACGGAGGCTGAACTTAGCTGATGAGTTGCTGTTTCCTAGATGCAAGCTGTTGCCCTGGGTGTGTAAGCATCGATGCTTTTAAAGCCTCATCCTGGGGCAGTGGCACTTTATTTCTTCCCATGGCCAACCAGCACCTCTGAAATTGTCTCCCATGGGGGGGGGGGTGAGCCACCAGTAGGAACTGTCATGGGACATAGTTCTTGGAAGTGTCATTGCTCTCAGTTGTCTTTGCAAGCTGTGCTTACAGTGTGTGGCATTGTGTAGCTTGTAGTGCTAACGGTGGTAAATCCTTGGAAGGCATGACTGTAGGAGTCCAGAACCCTTCCCTGCTGGCTTACAGAATGGAAGTGCTCACCTGACTCCTGATAGCAGGCCAATGAGCCTCTGTGCCTGAGACTACCATGGGATTCCAATTCCCTGTTCTCTCCGTGACTACCACGGAGCTCCCCCAACCCCCACCGAGGGGCTCCTGGGCTCAGAATGAGGGAGGCTCTGACCCTGTGGCTGAGTGCCGCTGGGCCCAGCAGAACCCAGTGACCACAGCAAGGTAACCCAGCCCGGGCCTGGTTCATCCCTGAACTTCTCTGAGAACACCCAGGCCCTTGGGTGCACCAGGACCCCTGTGGTCTGTCATAGCCCTTCAGTGAGAGCTGGTAGGAGCGGGTGCGGGGGTGGAGTGAGCGGAAGAGTCCAGCTGGTAAGGAGGCCCAGTAAGATGGTACTGTGCTTAATTGGTTAGATGGTGCTTAGTTACCATGGCAACCAGATGCTTTGTGAGTTAAGTGGCCTTGCTCACCCTTGCTTAGCCCTGCCGCCTCCTGCCCAGCCCCACCGCACCACTGGGTGTCTGTTTACCTTAATGACTTGGAGGTCAGGCTCACGGATTGGTTTTCCCCAGAAGGAACTAGAAACCTGAATTGTAATTGCGTCTCCTTGTTTTCCCCCTCTTGATGGCTATAACCATTTCCGAAGGATGCTTTTTAAAAATCTGGACACTGGGGCATGGAGGAAACTAGGTGCCTTTCTTAGCCAACAGCATCCCGAGTGACCTGTGGCTTCCTGGAAGCTACTGTGGCCTCAAGAAGAGGGGCAGGTGAACAGTGGGGCCCGTGTATGAGTAACTTACTGAGGGGATCGGGTTAAAGGAAAGATCTTCGGATCAGTTGCCCGTTCAGATGAGTGGTGAATGGGTAGATGGACAGATAATTTTTTTGGTGTTTATTTTCTACACTTTGTGCTGGCTTCTTTCAAAGCCCTCAATATGTGGGGGCCCTAAGGGCCAGCTGTCCTCAGAGCCTCCCCTCTAAACTTCACGAGGCGTGAGCTAGGCTGGGAAGGTGAGACAGGGCAGCTCTAAGAGCCCCAGCCTGGAGCGCTCCCCAGAAAGAAGTTCCCTTGAAGCATAGGCCCTGTACCCACTGTGGAAAGTGGACACTGCATCCTCTCCTCCCCAATGATGCTGTACCTGCAGATCCCACATAGAACACACAGCCCAAGCTCCCTTTCTATTTCAGAGCAAGTGTCACCCAGCTTGGAGGTGCCCTCTGCAGGCCTCCCAGGCCATGCCAGTGTCCTGGGGCCACTGGTGCTAAGTCCACTCTGCTCCCATACTCCACCTGCCTTGGTTCCCAAGGCTGCCTCAGTTCATAGAGCAGGATCATCAGCCTTACCATAAAATGGAGAATGCCCAGAATGTGTTTGAACTTTTTCAAAAATGATTTGCAGGATTATTTTTTTAATTGAGCAATACCTCAATTTTTATTCAAAGCCTGATTTGTTGGTTACAAATTGAAAACTTTCCAAATGCTTAAATATTTTCTTTAAGACTTCCTCCTGGTCTCCCATGTGGGTGCAGGGTCCCAAGACTTTGGGCCGTCCCCCACTGCTTTCCCAGTGGCCTCCTCCTGCAGCTGCCCACCACCCTTCCTGGGTCCCTGCCCTCGTTTCTCAGGGCCTGTCCACACATCTGGTTGTTTCTCACACACAGATGGGGCCAACGCTGCACTCACCTCTCTCACTTAGGTGTAGCATTTCCTCCGGTGGGGAATTCCTGTGCCTGGCTCTCTATTTCATTGAACCAATCACCACTGACAGATATTTCCATTGATTTTGAGCAGCAAAGCATAAGAAACAGCCCTGTGGTGACCCTGGGCTGGGAGAGGGGATTGTCTGCACAAACAGCTCAAGGATATGATGTGGCCACACAGCCCAGCCCTGCTCTGCCCCTCCACAGCCGTGTAACCTCGGACAAGGGACTCCACTGCTCTGTGCCTCCATTCTCACCTGTGAAACAAAGAGTGAAGGATGCCCAGTTATGCTTAACAGGTTCCCAAGGAAAGCTTCCCTGAGCCACAGGGCAGGTGCCATTCAAATGGCGACTTGTGGCCAGCAGCTACCCCTCCTGTGATACCGCAGGTCCCTGTGCACACACTGACAGAGAATGGGGCAGCCTAATTTCAGTCAGAGAGAACTTCAGGGTGCACTTGCTCATGGTCACGTGCCAGTGCCACAGTGTCTTCTTCCAGTTGGAACCAACTCCCTAAATATAGCTCAGAGTCAGCATTGGCAGATGTTGGGCTTGCCCTCTTGCAAGTGGCTGCTAGGAAGCACCCCTCTGTGTTAGCTAGTTGCCTCTTCACCTGCCACTTCCAGCTACGTCATGAGCTTCTAGCATTAAGGTCATAGGTTATTATCACCCCGGCCATTTGGGACAGACTCTAGGGAGCCAGGCCATCTGAAAAGAGGCTGCCTTCCTGCACCCCTGTCCTGACTCCCAGCGCCTCCAGGGAGAAGCCCCAATAGGCCTAGGCCTTTCTTTCCACTCCAGGCTCTCTCAGTTGAACAGAGTTTACAGTCCACTGAGCGCTTGGTACAAGAGGCAGAAGTAGGTCAGGGGACACGTGAGGACTTGGCATCCAGGGGCGTCGTTCCCGGGAAGGCATGAGCAGGTTCAAGGCCTGTCAGTCCCCTGCTAATTATAGAAACAGCAAGAGGCAGGGGGGACGACACGAGGACGGGGCTCATCTTGCAGGCACTGGAACCGGGCACCAGGCACACGGCTAGTGGCTTTCAGAAATGGAAATGGCTCCCTTGCTTGGATTGAGAAAACTCTGACTCAGAGACCACAGGACTTTGCTCTCCCCAAACCTTCCCCAACTAGAGAGTAGGTGCAAGAAGCTCATGGAGCCCCAAGACCAGTAGCCTGACTGCCACAAAAGTGTCTGCAGGAGCCAGCCCTCTGATGGTCCCCGCCCCAGAAAGAGGATGATTGGTTCCCAGAGAAGTATGCTCAGGCAGGGCAAGGCCAAGGCCATGCTTCAGAGCCAGGAGCAAGAGGGGCTTCACATTATAAATAGACAAATATCTAAAAACCAAAGCAGTTGATAGAAAAACCAGATTACTTGCATGACTTTGGGCATGTGTCTGCCTCACAGGTCCAGCCAGGGCATTGAGTAAGGGGTGTAGGGGCCACCATCAGCAAATCCATGGTAGCATGGGACCTGAGTTTACACTCTCTGGCCAGTGGAGAGAAGGAGGGCTTGCTGGGAGAATCCAGACCCCCCCCCCATGTCAGAGCAGTGAAGCCCCTCCCAGTCAAAGTTCAGCTTGGAGAAGGCCTAGCAAGGGATCTTCTCCTTGCTAAGGGTAGCCCTGCCCTTCAGCTGCCAGGCCCTCACCTCTGCCAGCAGCAGCAGCCAGAGCCATCCTGATCCCAAGAGCCCTGCCCAGACAGCTATTGGGTCCCCAGCACGAACGGGCTGGGAGTCCCCCACAACCCTGTCCTGGGTAGGAGGGGTTTCCGGGAGTGATGTTTTGTGTTGTCTTCTTCCGGTTGGAACCAACTCCCTAAATATAGCTCAGAGTCAGCATTGGCAGATGTTGGGCTTGTCCTCTTACATAAGGGCCAAAATGAGGATTGTCGTTTGGCACCTAAATAAAGCAGCCAACTTGGCAACCAGGAAGGGCTGCAGAAAGGTGCCTTGTTTGAGAAGGAAACTGCAAGAGAAATCCTTGCAGCACCCCTGGAGCCCAGAGGCCGGAGTGGGGGAAAGGGGGAGAGGGCAGGGTGTGTGCACATGCATGCACGGGTTCTCCTTCCTCATCCCCAAGCAAGGTCAGGTTCATTTCCAGAGGCCCAGAAATAGCCCCCCCCCAACAAGGTAGGAGGAGAGGAGCAGCCCCCCCAAGAGAGCAGTGGCAGCAGGTACCCCATTTTTGTGGAAGAGAGACAGAGCAGCATAGAGTGCCTGGAGCTGAGTGGTGGGGTGGGGGG